GTTGGTCAATGAATAATGAAAATGATGTCAAGGTCAAATGAATCTGATCAGAAAATCATGTACACCTTACAATCATTCTGTCCTCTAAATACAGTTGACCTACTGCTTATAGTATCTGAGAAACAGAGCTAATCATGTATTTACTTTAACCTTGACCCTAGACCCATGTGCATTTTGTGGTTTACTTATTTCCTTATAACTAGAAAGTGGTTTGCCCTTCACAAATAATCCAGTGTACATGTATACCACATTTTATCTTGATAGCACTATCAAAATTCAAAAGAAGGACTGTCATTGAAATCTCAGATCTGATTTAAGATGTTAATGCCTCTTATGAGACTGTGATCTTGACTGCTTCTGAGAATACATGATAATAATTGTATTTCAGCAATGAACTAATGAGCTAAAACAGAGGAGTATATTGAGCTACCAATATTATTCGTTTCAATCCCAAATATACTCTTTTCAAATATTCAGCATTCAGCTTCAAGTTTCAAGTATATAAAATGTCCCCATTCTGTGACAAAATCATTGGTGGAGATTTATTTATGACAATTCTCAGAAGTTTTAATCAAGACAGATTACTGGGAACTTGTTCTCTTCTGATGAACTACATCTATAACTCAATCACAATCTCAACTAATTTGAAGCTTAAAGTGTTTCTGCAATGATGAATTCAGCGACATGTCACTATTGGCGAACTTGATCCTCAACTCTATTTGCCGATATCAATCACAGTTAGTAATTTACACAAAAGACAAGAACATCAGCACAGTTGTAAATTGATGTTTTATGAAATTTGATAAATAATTGTCCGGAATAAGGAAATTGTAGTGCTGACAATGCCATAAATCAAACATATATCATCAGTTATCATTTTTTGAAGTCATTAAAAAAGAAACATTGTAAAAAAATCAAGTCAATACAGTTACGATGTAACTATAATTCCATTCAAGTATCAATGAAATGAATTCCATGTTATAACAGATTATCACAGCACAAAAGCAGTGTAATTATTGGTTCTCCATAACATAAAGCTGAAAGAGGACACAATTATAACAGCATCAATTTCAAATATCAACCATTGTGAAATTAACATCATACAGGGATTCTACAGGGATATCAGAGATTAATAATTTTATTATCAACCCTATATATTCATTAATCAAGTACTCAAGTACTTAACCTGCTGATATCAAATCATGCTGCCCTTCATTCTTAAATCAGCAGCTTTAGAGCTTTGGAGTAGATTTCATGTAGTAACTTTATAAAAATTCGTAAGGGTTCCGCTGAACCCAGTGTCTCGCCTACTTTTTCTGTTAATCGCAGGCTCAACAAAAATGAGGAAGTAAATCAATAAAAATATTCCTCTTGATACTAGCTTTTGATTGTAAGAAGCTTCTGTCCAAGTTTGGTAAAAATCCAGGATAGTTTATGAATCTAATAAATGTTTAAAAACTTTAACTGCAGACTGAATGTAAAGTTAACTGGAAGAAAACAAAATTTCCTTCTAGATACTAGCATTTGATCATAAGCAAGCTTCTGTCTAAGTTTGGTAGAAATCCAGGATAGTTTAAGAAAGTTATTAAAATTTCAAAAACTTTAACCACAGAGTGAATAATTGTGGACGCAGCCGACTACGACGACGCCGACGGAATGTAGGATCGCTATGTCCCGCTTTTTCTACTAAAGTCGAAGGCTCGACAAAAAGTAAAGGTAGACACAAGCGTATGCAATGCCAAGAATAAATCTCAACCGACTTTCAATACAGAAAGTAAAATATTACACATTTCTTCATTTTAACCATAAATTAGCAAACTAATGTTTGCTAAAACATACCTCTATAAAAACTGAAATCTTGTAGTATAGCATACTGTAACAGTATATAACTGACTATAAGGTATAGGTTTTGCTCATTGTTGAACTACAACCTAAAGTTGTTTACATCCACGTTATTTGGACTCTGGAAGATAGTTGTCCCATAGTCAATGGCAATCATATCATATCTCTGTATGTTTTATAATGTATTTTATATATCAAATTAATCAGTGTAAAGCAATCACCTGTCTAATCTAAACAGAATTTTTAGTTCAATCAGGTTCACTTTACACAGGTCTCACTGAATACTATACATAGGACAGAGAATAGAAACAGGGAATGTGTCAAAGAGACAACAACCTGACCAAAGAGCAGAAAATAGCCTAAGGCCACCGAGCTTCAGCTGGCCCCTGAACAATAATGTATACTACTGGTAGTTCAGGGAAATGGATGCCACACAGAACTCAGAAACATACAAGTGGACAAAGAATAAATAAACTGTTGACACAGAGATATGTCTCACCTTTTTATAATTTGATAGTGTAATGCCTCTAGCCTTTGTTAGTCTTGTATTATTTTTAATTTTAGTTTCTTGTGTACAATTTGGAGTTTAGTATGGCGTTCATTATCACTGAACTAGTATATATATTTGTTTAGGGGCCAGCTGAAGGACGACTCCGGGTGCGGGAATTTCTCGCTGCATTGAAGACCTGTTGGTGGCCTTCTGCTGTTGTCTGTTCTGTGGTCGGGTTGTTGTCTCTTTGACACATTCCCCATTTCCATTCTCAATTTTATTGAATCTAAATGGCAATATTCAAACATGTAAACTATGCAAAACATTCAAGGTCAACATGACTTATGGTGCAGGACCAAATAACCCAATGGAAATGGGCAATGCCAATGATTATAAAACTGCATACCAAATACAATTGACTTATGAAAATTGGTTCCCTTTACAATAACCTAAACACAAACTTGAATTTGTAAACCTGTGCTAGGGGCCATCTTAAATTTGCAATTAGGTGAGAGTGTTTTTGCTCCTTGTTGAAGGCCTCACTGTGACTTTAAGATGAAGAACACCAATTAAAGCGCTGTTCCTTTGCTTTTTGTGTGTATTTTTTGTTGTGCATGTACTAATTTTGTGTCATGGATCGATACCCCATATCCTTTTTTTTTCTATTAAAAGTTTCAAAGTTGTTGAACCATGCTGAGGGGGTGGGGCCATATAATCCCCATGGAAAATAGACTTGCAAATGCTAATAACATTGCATACCAAATATCATTGACTTAACATTAGCGGTTCCCCTTAAACTGATCTACCGTATTTAGCCGTGTATAGTACACCATTGTGTATAATACGCATCCCCTTTTCATCCCTCCAATTTTATTTTTTTTAAGTGAAAATAAAAGGTAAAAACAAAAAATTTAAAAATCTAGTTCACTGTAAAAAAAACTAAAATAGAGAAAATTAAACCATATATTTAATCTTCTTTTAAGTCTATTGAAAGATTAAAATAATATGTAAGACTGATTGTTCAATCAAATTGTTTAATTAAATAATTTTAAAGTCATAAGCAATAGAATAGTAGCGCTTTCATCATGTAATTAACATTTATTAATTCTATAAAAGAAAAGTTATCAATTAAATATCCCCTTGTCTAACCTTGGTCAAGCTGATGCACTGTTCAAATATTATAAAAGAAATAATTGGAATGTTATGTATGTATTTGCTTACGGAAATAAAGTTAAATAAAATAATTTCTATGGAAATGAAATCTACATACCAAATATCATTGACTTACCACTAGTGGTTTCCCTTAAACTGACCTAATCACGAACTAATACATGTAATGTTAGCAAAATTTTCAAAGTCAATAGACCATGACTGAGGGGGCAGGGTTGAATAATTTCGGAAATGAGATGTGCTAATGCTAATACAACTGCTTACCAATTATCACTGACCTACCACTAGTGGTTTCACATAAGCTGACCTAATCACAAACTAATACATTGTTGACGCCGCCGACACTGTCAGAAACAGAATGCCTAAGTCTCGCTTTTTGACTCTGTCAAGGCAAGAAAAAAACACACAAAACTACCGATACAACCATAGGAAAGGTAGATCTTGTGATAGAAACATTGTTACCCCCCTTTTCCTCCCAGTATTGAACTCAGGATGATAGAATATACTAATTGTTTACATTTATTCAAATTCTAAAAGTCCAAATATTGATTGTCAAGAAAGAAGAAATTGGTTTCCTGTCTTTTTCTTAAGGGTGAATATAACACCTGCACTTTAATAGTGTGAATAGTTTGTACATGAACTTGTAGACCATTGATTTCTCAGGGATATATATATAAACTAAGACATAGTTCACAGAGAATCCTACCTTCCATACATGTAATATTCAAAAAGAGTGTGAATATTGAAAATAAAGGGAATTTGTCTGATATAAACCAATTATATAATCCAGGGGCGGATCCAGGATTTTAGGTTAGGGGGCGCATACTTAAATTTTAGCCAAGTGGAGCAAGGCAAAAATTTTTTTGAGGTAAAATTATCGAAATATTCTTTATTAAGCTGAGGACAACCCATGCTTTGCAAATTTGGGAGAGGGGGGGGAGGTGCACGGCCCCCACGCCCTGCCTGAATCCGCCCCTGTAATCCTTTAATTAGTCTACTAGCATGTTTTTGTGATTTTTGTAAACACCAATAGAACTTCTAAGAGTGATACAAGAGATTGATTGCACATTTTAAAGAAAAAGAATTTTGACAACAAAAAATTATTTAAGAAGATATTCAAATTTCCATTTTTGCTGATTTATAAAGAGACAAGTTTCCTTTACATTCTACAAAATGAGATTAAATGCAGTGGCAAAGAGATTTTTAGGCACCTAGATGTTGCTGAGGTTTTTGGGCATCATTATTTGTGTCTGGCACTGATATGTTCCCTTTGTTGTAACCACAGCCCTGCAAACCTATAAATGTAAAATATCTGCATCAAAACCACATAAGTAAAGTCTTATTTTTCTATTGTACCAGACATTAGATCTTACACTCTCTATAAATGGTCTGTATAAATCTAAGCAAGGCATATCTGACTCAAAAACAAATACAAAACTTTTAATGGTTTGTCAAAGTTTTATTTAGATGGATATAAACTTTGTAATAATACACCTACCTGATGACAAGAGAAGAATCTGGATTTCTGCACAATTAAGTCCTATTCTATTGTAACTGTTTGTAAATTCAACACTATAAATTTACTACAAAATCAGGTTAAGTCCGTGACATCACGTCAAAACTGTGTCATATCTTTCACTGTAAAACAAAAATATCAATTCATTTTCACATGACATTAAGTTTAATTTGATTAACTTTTCAGGTATGTATTTAATTACTGGCATAATTTGTTGTACGTGTCAATGGTATGCATAGTAGATACATTTGTACATGTACAGTATCGTGGACACATACCTCAGGAAGAAAATGATCAGGTCCTATAATTCAACAACGACAAAAGTAATGGTTATTTTTATTATGTTGATTGTTTCTTTGTACACGTTTTATTATATTTTACACCTTTAGTTGTAATATTGGTATTAACATTGACACATCAGACCTTAGGCCACATATCTCTTTAAGTTCACTTGTCATATCAGTAGGCTTCCATGTACAAAATGACAGAGATTATATATTTATAAGATTTGTATATTTTCATTTTTCTCTATATAGCATTTCTTTACATAAATATTAATATATTATGTCTGAATGCATTTTCTATATTATAAATTATCTTCCCTACAAAATAACCCATATGGCACAAAATAAGCCTCCAATTAATCCAAGCATATTTTCCATTTAATCTGTGATAAGCTTCAGGAAGACATATAAATCTTATGGAAGAACCTAATAAAGCAGAAGTATGCATAAGGAAATACACCAAGTATAGATAAACAGTAACATTTAAACATATATAAACTATTCATTAGAAGCTTGTAGGACTTAACCTTTAAATATTACAAGATGTGAGAACTGACAAAACAAATAGTTATAATAAGAAGAAAAGCTAATACTATATACTATATCAGTTTTAAATGTTGTAGGATAGTTTTTAACTATTTATATTAAAAAAAGAAGTTTTTTATTATCATTTGAAAAAAAGCTTAATGTAAATTGTTTTTCTTTATGATCTTTTTATACAGATTTGACCTTTTGTTCTATCAGACTGATAAAGAAATACCATAAAAGCATAATTGTTGGTCTTTGGAATTTGAGAAAGGTGGCAAGGACAATCTTCTCAAAAACTGTTGGTCCTGACCACCAAAAATCAGGTAGGTCCGCCAATTAGAATGTAGTGGTGGTTTTGTAGTCTTGGGTGGATATCACTGTTTTAATAAAAAATTCATTTACAAAACTATAATAATCTGTTTCTATCTTTTGAAGTATTCAGGTGCATCACAAAATCCAACTTAAGAATGTGATGAAAAAATCATAGAAAAGAAAAAGCCAATATTCCTATACTGTCAAATATATAAATCCTTGGTCAAATATAGACACACATAATCTGATGTGGAGTAGTACTACAGGTTCATTTTGCAAGGAATGAAAATGTTCTTGTCATTAAATGTTTGTCCATAGCCTTGACTATAAACTAATTATAGCTTTGTAGACTGTAACCAATGGTAAATAATTGCCTTTCCTAGACTGACCAATACTTATGACAAATGATCCTGACATGACTTTAACTCAAATAGACAGTGCTATAATTGCTGGAAAAAAGAATCCCATTTCCTGGTCACACTCCAGGAAAATTAATTCTTAGTTTCCAATATGTTCAATGAAATATTCTACATAAGGTTAAAACAGAGGTTTATGGTATAATAAGTTATCTTAATGTCAGAATGGAACAGCGCTTATTTTAGATATTCTACTAGATAAATCACTGATGAACTCCCATTCTGGAAAGATTTTAATTGTTAATAGAATTTTTCCCACAGCGTTGTGAGAAAGTATTATAGTGAAGTCTATACAATCAAGTCACTTAAATACTCTTCCTTACTGTCTAATTAAAATGATGAATAAAAAATATCAAATCTGGCATTTATTACAATGATCAAATTAACTGCTCCATAACCACCAAGAAATACTCCAACTAATGATCATAAAACAGAAATAAAACTCTCTGCTTCAGAATTTCATTGTGATCATCAAAAGCGATATGATAATTTCTCTTTTTGCAGCAACTAAAGGTATATACCAAATAAAGTAATATCTGTAGTAGTTAATTTGTTATCAATATTCAGTCCTTTGGCAACATTAGCCTGGAATACCATACAGTTGTATTATCTTCATCACTGATTTGGAAACCATATATTTTCCTTCATTAGGGAAAACTCATAGTAGACAGCTAAATAATAAGGGATAATTAACCCAAGTCAAAGCAATTTCTCAACCAAAAGAAAATAGAATTTGTCTCCAGTCTGATATGGAAGACAAATTGACAAGGTTTCCACAATCTTTTTATCCACAGTATTGTCAGTAGGATAACAAATCATCCTGTGCTACATGTCACAGAAAGCTGTACATTTTCTGCACTGAATTCTGGGAGACAAGAGATTTCAGATGACAATATACCATTATTGAATTTCCATGTAAAATTATCTGCATTTTATCTATGCAATTTCACAGAACTGTTCAATATTATGAAATTTGAATGTCCATGTATAAGATTTGACATCAAAGAAACGTCTAGATTTAAGTTCATTTATTAACAACAGTATTATGGGACAGAATCAAGCTTATAAAAAAGGTGAATGCTATACAAGTACACCATGTTTTTAGGATGATGCCCCCGCTTGCATATAACATTATAAAGGAACATAACTCAAGAACGGTAAAAGTGACGCCATCAAAAGTTGAACTTGATCTGCATTTGTGACAATAATCATTGTGTATAAGTTTCATAACATTTGGTTCATGCAAACTTAAGTTAGAGAAGGGAAACAAAAAATTCAGGATTGCTTTTCTTTTGCTGTGCATGTAATGATTTTGTGTGATGGATGGATACCCATATCCTTTCTTTCCTATTATATGTTCAATCAAAAAACAGACAAGTCAGTTGGTTATCAGTTATAATTCTAAATGTAGACAAGAGTGCACAACCTGAAATGTCTCGCCTTCTTTACTGACCATTGATTTTATGTTGATAGTCCTAAATATAAAGCTTTACTACAACTATCACATAAACTTTACATGATCCAAGAAAATGAGATCACGGTCAGATAAACCAAACTGGAAATACATGTTCACCTTACAATCATTCCATACACCAAATATGCTTTAAATATTGTTGACCTATTGCACATAGTACCTAAGAAACAAACTTAACCAAGAAAACTTAACGTTGATCAATGAACCATGAAAATGAGGTCAAGGTCAGATGAACCCTGCCAGACAGACATGTACACCTTAAAATCATAAAATGCTTTAAATATAGTCGCCTTATTGCATATAGTAGTCTAAGAAACAAACTTAACCAGGAAAACTTAAGATTGACCAATGAACCATGAAAATGAGGTCAAGGTCAGATGATAATTGCCAGACAGGCATATACACCTTACAATCATTCCATACATCAAATATAGTTGACCTATTGCTTATAGTATTAGAAAAACAGACCGAAAAACAAAAACTTAACATTGAGCAATGAACCTTAAAATGAGGTCAAGGTCAAATAAAACATCCCAGACTGAAATGTACATCGTAAAATATTTTCATACACCAAATACAGTTGACCTATTGCATACAGTATTAGAAAAGCAGACCAAAACACAAAAACTTACCTTTAACCACTGAACCATGAAAATGAGGTCAAGGTCAGATGACACCTGCCAGTTGGAAATGTACACCTGACAATCATTCCATACACCAAATATAGTAGACCTATTGCTTATAGTATCTGAGATATGGACTTAACCACGAAAACTTAGCCTTGTTCACTGATCCATGATATGAGGTCGAGGTCAAGTAAAAACTGTCTGACAGGCATGAGGACCTCGCAAGGTATACACATACCAAATATAGGAATCCTATTACTCATAATAAGAGAGAAATTAAGAATACTAAATATCTTAACTATTTTATCAAGTAGTCACTGAACCATGAAAATGAAGTCAAGGACAATGGACATAAGACAGACTGAAACTTCATAACATAAGGCATCTATATACAAAATATTTTATAAAACAGGTCTTCTACTTTCTGAAATATTAAGCTTTTAAGAAGTTTGTTAACACCACTGTGGCCGCCGCCACCAGATCACTATCCCTATGTCGAGCTTTCTGGGACAGAAGTCACAGCCTTGACAAAAACCAAAAGAAATATGTTATTTAAATGAGAAAGATGCAATGTGGGGGTTATCTGGTTCTATCTTACATTAATTTTCTATTTATAATAACAGGTGACATTGGTTTCTAACAGGTTATTAAGATATAATGAAAAATTAGAAACAATGTGTTGGAAGAAAAGAATGTAACGAGACTTTTCATTTTCTGCTTGTAATATTCTTAAATGAGGAACATTAAGTAATCTTACTTTATTGCCAGTTGTCAAAGATTTTCAATATATATATAACACATAGCAGAGAAGGTGATAGAGCAGACTGTTATCCTGAGAAAACATTGTCAACCAAGGTGAAGCCAAGGTTGACAATGTTTTTTCAAGGGGTAACAATCTGCACTATCACCCTCTCAGCTATGTGTTAATAATTATCATATTGAATGTTCTGTCATTATTGTCTTTTAGATTTTAAATTAAAAGTACTTTACTATGACATCATGAACATAGCAACGTTACAGGTCATGCATGTTGAAAACGTAAACCTGAACACATTACATTGAATAAATCCCTTTATGATTGCACATTGGTAACACCTCTTTAATAAAGTATGTCAACAAATTTTGTTATTTTTAGCAAAAAGCTATAATAAGTCATATAATTGGCTGTTTTTAATAAATATTAGTCGAAAAAAAACAGATTTTGCCATGCTTTTCATAACTACAAAATTTCATAAACGCCAATTTACATGTTTAACAAAGTCAGCTCTAAATTATGTGTTAAATTGTATATGTTTTGTCTGAGTGATGTTTCAGAAGTAACAGAATGTGATATACCAACAAGTCGCTCAGTCCTAAAATGTAAGTCTTGGTGACCCAAATGTGATATATAAACAAGTTGGTCAGACCTAAAATGTTAGTCTTGGTGACCCAAATTTGACATATAAATAAGTTGCTCAGACCTAAAATGTAAGTCTTGGTGACCCAAATGTTAGGTTATTATTTTTTCTCATACATAAAAGAATTGTTACAGAGAAAGGTTATTGATGTAACTTTTGGGATTTCTGATAAATTGTTATAAAAGGTTGTTTTGTAACATTTATGATGATAGCAGCAGTGAAAAATCATTGATACAAAATCAAACATTTAGGTATAAATATACTTTAATCCAAAACCTAACCAAAATCACTGAAGCATAACAGATAGGGCATGGTGATCCGATTTTACCAAATTAACTTGAAGGAAGGTGAAGATAGAAGTCAAAAGAGATATATCACTAAAATCATACAAAACCTCAACCAAAATTATCCAAATGTTAACAGTTCATAACTGAGGTATACAGACCTAACCAATATTTTATACTTGATCACTGATAAACTCACCTTATAAAAATAACAATTAAAGATGCATGAAAATAAGGTCAAGGCCATATGATAGTTTAAACATGTTTAAAATATGCAAAAGGGAAGACATATGTAAATCCTTTATATACTACTCGTAACTAACCTATATTCCAAATTTTTGTTGACCTATCATGCATAGTAACAGATCCATTCTTTAAATAAAATGCTTTTCTGAGCGCAGCCTAATACGACCGCAGAGGTCTAACCCTGAACAGTTGGGGCAAATTTGGACACAATATTCAAGCTTGATACTGTCCTAATTTGGATTGTGATCAAATTTTTGACATAATATAGGTTTCTGACACAAAATATATGTGGTCAAAGATCTTACAAATCTATTGCGCAATACTGTGCAATTGAAGATTTCTTCTTGAAACTTTTCATAAATTGGAAATTTGAAAAATTTTTAAAAAATATGAATCCCTTAAAAAAATTGGAAAAAAAATCCCTCCAACTTTTTAGAACCCCCCCTTGGAGCAATAACCCCAAAACTCAATCCCAGCCTTTCCTTTGTAGTATGGAACCTTGTAGTACAATTTCAGAGAGATCCATACACTTAAACACAAGTTATTGTCTGGAAACTAGAAAAATGCT